AGCCACAGTGTCAATCCATCTTGTTGAGGGTCTTCCTCTTTTTTGTTGATCCTCTACTTTACCGGTCATGATGTCCTTCTCCAGGGATTGGTCCCTTCTGATGATACGTCCAAAGTAAGTGAGATGAAGTCTCATCATCCTTGCTTCTAAGGAGCATTCTGGCTGTACTTCTTCCAAGACAAATGTGTTTGTTCTTCTGGCAGTCCATGGCACATTCAATATTCTTTGCCAATACCATAATTCAAAGGCATCGATTCTTCTTTGGTCTTCCTTATTCATTGTATAGCTTTCACATGCATATGAGGTGATGGAAAATACCATGGCTTGGGTCAGACGCACCTTAGTCTTCAAAGTGACATTTTTGCTTCTTAGAAAACCAGAAGGGAAGCACACGCTCAATATTTCTCAAGCTGAAAGAACAGAAGAAAAAATTCAAGCCCTGAGTTGCAATACCGAAGGATTCTATGGACAAAAAAAATTGAACCCGTACGAGTACACCCTAGGAAAACTATGAGGCAGTTCTACTCCGTCATATAGGGTCACTATAAGTTGGAATCAACTCCATAGCATACAATGACAACAACAACCAGCAGCCTGATTTTCCAGATATGAAATAGGTGGAGATACTAAAATGCAAAATCCATAGCATGACTGTGGTGTGTTTTCAACACTCCCAAGCAGGCAAAATTATAATTCTAAAGAGAAGCACCATCATTATATTTTCTAATTGTATAAGAAATTCATGGAAAAAAGACAGTAGGGTTGATGCTAACAGTAACCGGAAAGAAGAGGATGGTATATTATATATAAAATACTTTATTTCAACTTCAAAGTAAGTCTTTTCCCTTCCCCATGAAGGGCTTATACAGGTGACTTGTGACAGCAGAAATCAATGGGTTTAGAGTCAGGGTTAAAGTCTCAACTCCATAAACTATCTTCATTTCTCAGTAACAAGCAGATTAAGCAGCTGCAAGTATGATAGGCACCACGCAGGAAATAATGCCTGTGGAAGTGAGAGCTTAAAAAGCTTCTAGTTTTTGCCACAAAGTAGTTAC